ATATATATATATATATATTATAAAGACTAAAATAAAATAAAGCAACATAAAAAGAAAATAGTGTATTATAAGGATAAAAACATGTTAAAACCTAAAGATTATTTTATGTTAAAAATGAATTCACTTTACCGTATAATTTAAGAACTTTATGATAAGGATGCAAGAAAAATCAAATATGAAAAAAAGAAAAAAGCAATTATATTTGAACAAAAATAAACAAACTCATAGTAAACCTGGCATGCAGGAATGAGGGTGTGAAATGTTTTCTTTTTTTCCTCCCACGAGTATTTTCTTTCTTATCAAGTTAAAGACTAACTCAATTAATTTATGCACACGGAATGAATAAGGATTCTCTACTATAAAGATTGTTCTTACAATGTGAAAAGTTTAAATAAGATATTAAGGTCTTTGTACTTATTTGGAAGAAAAGGACTATTTCAGAACTTACGTGGTTAATAATTTTAGTATTACTTGGAATAGGATTTTAATAATACTTTAACACGTGTAATCCATAAGGTTTGAATGTATATGTGTTTATTTGTGTCTGTGTGTATTTTTCTATGTATGTTTATTTGCAGGTGTTTGGGAGTCTGTTTATGTATGTGTATGTGTGATGGCAAAAGCCTAGCTAAGGAACCCACGACTAGAGCTATGGTTAGGAGGATGCATGAAGAGTGAGCCAGATCAGAGAAGAAGAAAATTCAAAACTTGTTTGATAAATCACTAAACACTTGAATCTAACAACTTGTAATTGTAACACCCCGAATTTGCTACTTGAGTATTAATTATTTTTATATAGTTATTTTTGTTAATTAAATGGGTTTTATAAAGGTTTGTATTAATTTAAAATTATTTACGAAAATTTTTATAAAAATTCTATTTTTTACCCTGGAACGGGCTGTTCCAAAAAGTGGAATGGGCCGTTCCAAACGAAGAAAATAAGTTATTTTTGTAGCAGCAGAACGGGCCGTTCCAAAAGTGGAACAGACCGTTCCAAAGAAGAAAAAATGCCTCTGTAGGTTTTTCCAGAACGGACCGTTCCCAAAGGGAAACGGGCCGTTCCGAAATTCTAAAATTGCCTAAAGACCTTAGTTGAGAACGGGCCGTTCCAACTATGGTCAATCAGTGTTAACGTGAACTTCAGAACGGGGCATTCTGCTTTTTGAAACGGGCCTTTCTGCTTTTTGAAACGGGCCGTTCCGATTTTGGAACGGGCCGTTCCAGTTGAAAATTTTGCACAGTTTCGAAGGATCCGGAACGGGCCGTTCCGAATTCAATACGGGCCGTTCCGGGTACACCAGTTTGCTTATAAATAGGAGGCTGAGGGGTGAAAAATTTTATACTGAGTGAGAAGGTGAAATCTTAGAGAGAGAAAGAAGAGAGAGAGAGAGAGAGAGAGAGAGAGA